GGTTCGCTTCTTGCTGAGGACAACAGAGGAGCTGTTGCCTTTGTTGGGGTGTTCCTTGAGTGACCACTTACTTAAAATAGTTATTAAGCAAAAAAAAAAATACGGCATGAACTCAAAACGAGACGTATCCAGCAGAAATAACCCACAGGAGCGACACACCGCGTGGACTTCACTCGAGCAGACCGGGAATACACAGCCAGGCTCCTCACCCCCAGGCAGCAAACGCGTTACCCTTGCCGAAAGCACGTTTTCTGCCTCACCTGGACTACAAACCTCCTGAAATTCCCTAAAAGGAGACCACTCGAGCTCACCGCGGCTCACCCGCGCCCGGGGCGGAAGGTACCGACTGCCGCAAGGAAAAACGCCCCACGGTTGTCCTCGGATTAAAAAAAAAAAAGGATTTATTTTACAGTCTTATAAAGCAGCTTTACATTAAGCACAAACGTTGATCCGTTTACTTTGTATATAAACATAGTAGAACCTTTCCCTCTGCAAAAAAGTCATCGTCTCGCTGTATATAAAACTAACGTGTGCACATTGTGCTTCAACTGCAAAGTCTGTACAGCTCTACAAAGGCCCGCCCGTCGCCAGAGCAGCCTGTAAACAATTTATTGCATATTCAACACATGGTGTACGTCCCACATGTAACAACAAAAAGGTAGGAAAAGTACCCAAAGGACAAAGACAAGGTGAAAGAAAATAGCAGCTTTCAGTGAACGTCTGGCACGAGGGCCGTGAAAGCAGGGCTGGGAGGGTTGTGCTTGCGTGTCAGCGGCTGGCGTGCGCCCGCACGGCGCTTCCGACGGAGACCGCGCGCGGGAAGCCCCTTGAGGCGAGCCCCTTGGAAAGATCGAACGGATCTTAGGGACTGAGATCTTTGTCAGTTTGAAGACGGGAAACGAATGAGCCAACCCCGACGGAAGCGAAGTGGGTGACGTTACGGGCCCCCCACGTCCAATAATCCTCTTGCACTGCACAACTCAACCCCAAGAGTAAGGGGAGAAACCCCCGCGCCCACGCCCCCCGGTCCCGTGGCGTCTGGCAGTGGGTGGCTCGAGTTGGGCGGGTGCTAAGGCCAACCATACCGCGACGGCAAGGACGAGGCGGCCTGAGAGGACCGAGGGCGTTGGCATGGCCAAGCGACCCTTCGGAGCTCCCTGTCCAACCGCTGCCGGGACGGCGCTCCCGCAGCACCGAGGGGTCAGCCACCCCGCAATTTCTCTGGCATTAATTAAAGAGGGATTTGTGGCCTCTGTAAGGCACCGGTACGGTCTCACGAGCAGTACCCAGAGTCTCTCTAGATCCTCCACGTCCAACGTGGGCAAAACATGGAGGAAACTTGGAGGAAACACGCAGGAAAAGGGTGTTTCTGTGCCTGCGGTACGGACAGGTGAGACAGGCTGAGAGAGTTGGGGGGTTCAGCCTGGAGAAGGGAAGCTCCGGGGAGACCTTACAGCCCCTTCCAGTGCCTGGGGGGCTACAAGGAAGCTGGGGGTGGCTTTTCCCAAAGGCAGGGAGTGACAGGACAAGGGGTGACGGGTTTAAATGGAAAGAGGGAGATGGGCCATCAGGAAGGAATCCTTCCCACAGAGGGTGGGGAGGCACTGGGACAGGTTCCCAGGGAAGCTGTGGATGCCCCATCCCTGGGAGTGTCCAAGGCCAGGCTGGATGAGGCTTGGAGCAACCTGGGCTATGGAAGGTGTCCCTGCCCATGGCAGCGGGTGGCACTGGGGGGGCTTTGGGGTCCCTTCCAGCCCAAACTGCTCTGTGATCCCATGATTCCGTAGCCAGTCGTGGGTAAAGGAAGCACGCTCTTCTGGGTGTTGTGTGCGTGTGTGTGTGCACATGGACGTAAAAACAAAAAATTCACCTCTGCTACCTTTGGTATTGAGACTTCTTCTGTGACATCCACTTCTCACACTGACACGACCGTAGCACGCGTTTGCAAAGATCAAGTAATTACAAAGTTGTTTCAAACATCTGCGAAAAATAGAAAAAGCATCAAAAAATAGAGAAAAGTGAAAAAAACCCCAACCAAACAAACAAGCAAATCAAGATGCATATTGTCCTTGTGCCCAGCCTTTTTGTGATTTAAAGGAGCTTTGTCCTCAGGATAAGCATCTTAAGCTTAGCCCCCACCTACCCGTACAACACGTGTAGGATCAGTGGAAAAAACACCCACAGCTACCACGCGTCCCGCCACCCCCAACGTACGTCGGGGGCTTTCGGGTCTGGGACTCGCACAGCCAACACTGGCACGACCCCACAGAGCCCATGACCCGGTATTTGCTACGCTACCAAACTCCACATCCCTGCTCCAGTGATGCAACCGGCAGGTTTTACTCTTCTGGCTCAACCAGGATGCTACAGGCTGAGAAGGCGGAGTAACGGTGGGTGTAAAGGATGGATAAAGAGGGAAAAGAAACCATCTGGCTTCTTCCGCCTTACAACAGCCGAGTGGGAGGGTTCGGACGCGTGTGCTGGGGTATTGCACGGGCACCCTCGCTCCACGGCAGAGCCACGAAGGCAGCGCTGGAGACGTAAGCACCCCTTACACCGCGAGTAAGGCGGTAGGCAGCGGTGAAACAGCGTTAAAGCAAAGGTGGAGCTGGAAAACCCTCTGGGGCGATTTCAATTTTTAAAATGCTTGATATAATCAAGCAGGTTACAAATGACAATCACCCCAGGAAAACCTTAATTAATTCCACTTGAATTTCACTCGAGATGAGCTCCGCATCCCACTGGGGAATTCAAGCCGAGTCTCCCAAAGAATGAAGTCGCCAAAGCTTCGCGAAACCTCCCAGGTGTAATTAAAACACAGGACGGAATGCCGGGCTCCAGGACAAGGCTCCAGCTGCCGGGGTGACGGGGCAGCTGGCTCTGTAACGGGAGGGGCACGGTCACGGGCCGCGGGCGGCCGCCAGCCCCGGGTTGTGCTTACGTGACGCGACTTCGAAAAAAAACTTTTCCGTCCGCACGCCTGGGAAGAATCCACGCAGCTAAAGGATCTCCGTACGGAGAACTGGGGGTGGCAGGGGGGAGGAGAAGAAATTAAAGTGTGGTTTTCAACCCAAAAAAAGACTCCCTATTAAAAACAACCCCACTTTTAAAAAGATACACTGTCCACTACCTAGGCTACAGGAAAATACACATTTACGGCGTCACACCACGCTGTTCCAACACACACACACGTAGCTCCAGTTTAAAGGAGGCCACAGACTAACTTCTCAGGCAAGTGCTGGACTTGGGAGACCTGTATGGCTTCTGCAAATAGTTTTCCTATAAAAAGGAAAAAAAAAAAAAACACCCACTCATAGAATGTGACATCGCTACACCACTGTCCCCAAACTCAGGAGCACAAAGGGGTTTTGCTTCGTGCAGACAGTTTCGCCGCGGAGCGCTAAGGACAGGCGACGTTCCCCAGTCCTACCCATCAGACCCAAGTATTTCCCCACTGGAATGCACTGATTTCAGTTTTAAGGATCACTTCTTTGAAACGGTCCATAAAAAAACCGGCAGGATGCCCCCCCCGTGGAGGGAGCCCCTCGGCGAGGCAGCGGGTTTTGGGGGGGGAGCTCTAGTTGTGCTTCGCCCGCCCGCCTCGCAGGTAGCTCTTCCACCTCTTGACGAACTCTCTGAAGACGGGGGACTCGTCTATCGTGCTGAGGAGCTGGAGCTGGTTGATGTGGGTGGTGTGATAGTCCCAACGGGCCAGGTTGGGAGCGGTGCCGAGCATGAAGTGCCGAAGGTCGTAGATGGTCCCTGAGCCGGTGTCGTAGAGGGGAAGCATGGCCTTGAGGGACTCCATGCCCCGCTCGTAGAGCGCCCGCGCCTCCTTCCCCAGCTTCTCCCCGGCTGTTTCTTTTAAGTCATACAGCCCGATCAAGGAGTACATGAAGCCGTTGAGCACGAAGGAGCTGGGCGAGGTCGGGTACTCCTCGTACCAGTCGTGCCGGTTCATGAAGACGGCTTTCACCCCGCGCTGCTCCGACAGCAGCTTGTAGGGCGCGGTGGCCCGCAGAGCCGAGCTGAGGAACGCGTGGTCCTTCGTTAGCAGGTACGCCCGCACCAGCGTCGAGATGGCCTGTCCCTGTGCCATGGCCGAGTACCAGCCCGGGTCCAAGGACTTAAATCCTTCCCCCAGCTTCCTCGTCACCATGATGGGCCACCCGCCCCGCTCGTCCTGGTTCCTCACCAGCCAGTTGCTGGCAGCAAAAAAAGCTGCCATGTGCGCGGTGGCCGAGATGGTGACGTTATCGAGGAAGCCTCTTCCCTTGGCCACCAGCCTCACCACTCTCTTGGGCATGATTTTGGTCTGCTTCACGGCTTTCGTGTTCGAGAGGCCCACGCCTTTCCGCAGGTCGGTCACCAGGTCCCTGGTGAGGGTGCTCCAGCTAGTCCTGGGGCCGATGCCGTAGTAGATGTCTCGGTCCTTGAAGGCGATGAGCTGGGCGTTGGAGACGTAGTGCACGGTGAAGAGCTGGTTCTTCTCCGTCGTCTCCAGGACCACGGAGATGCTCCCGTTGGTGACGAATTTGAGATCGAAAGAAATAATAAAGTCCCGGGTGTTCCCAAGCTGCAGAGACACCCCCTCGGTAGTTTCTGCAAAACAAACAAAAGCGGCGTTCAGTGGTCACGCACTCACTTCTCCAACGCGGTTACGCTAGGGAGCACAGCTTCCCGAGGGAAGCCCTCTCAGCGGGCGGGATCCAAAAGCTTTTAGGGCAGCCCATCAATAATTCAATCGCTCTGTCTGCGTGCTATCATGTATTATTTAATTAAGGATGAAAGCAAATCCGGGAGCGAAGGCCGCCTCCCACCGCACCCGGGAGAACTCGTTGGCGTCTCACAGGAAAGCGCTGCAGCACTTGGCGGCGGCGAAGTGCCAGGGGCTTCCATCGATGGTTTTATGGGATGCTTCCGGTACCTGATGGACAGAGGAGGAGTGCAACGGACACCGGCGGGGTCTGGGGTAAGGGAGTGGGTCACCAACGGGGGGGTCGTACTGCTTAAGGCAGGACGGGGCAGAGCCGGACAGGACGGGGCGCAGCAGCCAACCCGCAAGCGTGTACACGCTGCGCGATTTTCCTCTTCTGTAATTCGAAACATAAACCAACAACTGCCCTTTGGTTCCAAATCCGAAATTCCGCTGGGCGGAAAAGACACCGAACGGGCGGCGCCGGTCGAGCAGTCGCATTTCTGCGTAACGCGTCGCTTCCAGCAAAACCCCCGTAGCCAGGAGTGCCGAGGACAAAAGCCCCCCAAGCCGGGAGCGCCGAGACGCAGGTATTTAGGATCCCCCTGGGACTAAGACTTAAATCTGCGCCTTTCTGATTTCCCTACCCAACGGTTCCAAAAAGCTGATTAGTTTAACGGGGAGAAAAAAAAGAATACAGAAAGACTAACGTCTTTCAGTATTTATTACCTTCTCCATGGGCAAAACTCAGTTTAATTAAAAAAATAATTAGAGCAAGCTCCTAGGCAATGCCACATAACAAAACCCAGTGTTCTCACGCAGGCTGGATTTGAAAATGTAAAATCAACTCCTCCCCCAAAAACCTGTACATGAGATCAAAGGGCTAATCAGTTGCTAAGGCTGCGTGCAAATCCCGTGGCTCCCAAGGTGCAGGGGGCTGATAAACACCTAAAGCCAGTCATCCCAGATTAACGGCTTCCCAAAGAGCAAACTTCTGCCACGCGGGGCAACCCACGAACACTTCCACGTGTAACCAGCTGCTTCTGCACAGCAGCGGCTTTTTCCCATCCCCAAATTCCCCTCTGGCCTTTTGCAAGGTCCTGTCATACCAGCCCTACTGATATTTGACCGAATGTCCCATTTTCCTGATCTTTCAGAGTAAAAGCTTCGCTCCTGTGAGTTCTGCAGATCAGCATCTGCTCGGGGAAGATCCCAAGCGCTTTGTTACACAACATGTGGCTCCTGTGAAAAAATCTAATTACAAAAACCTCACTCACAATCCCTGTCAAGGAGGTTTTATGGTTCCTTGTACATAAACACTTGTGTGATAACGAGCGGAATTATAACGGAGGGCGGGGGGAATATTCAAGGGTTTTAAGAAGTGAAGGAGAACTAAAGGCTGCCATGGCCTCCAGCGCCGATAAATCCATTACTTAAGGCCATTCCAGAGGAGTGGATGCACAGCACGGCCTTCCAGCCCCGCAGATTACTCTGCCATCAATAAAGGATGAGGAGCGAATACGTAACAGCTCTTTTAGCCTTTCCTCCCCCCGTATTTATCCACTACAAAGACACTAGAGTGTTCGACAATTTCTTCCCTGGAGACCCCGGCCTAAGGTGCCAACTGCAAATTACTTCATTGTCTTTTTAAGTAATGGACTCATTAATTCTAATGGGTATTGATTGAGGAAAAATACATTACGTCCTTATTAATGAGCCTGTCCTGGCACGAAGGAAACTCTTGCATGAAATAATGATTTTCCCTGCTAAGTAGGAAACAGAACAGGGTGAACTGAAGGCAACAAGATGCCTGTTGCACGTCTGCAGGTGAAGGAAAAAAAGCAGCCCTGGATCCTTGCCCCCCTCCAGCCTCTGCAAATGCCTCTGCAGCAGGAGGGCAGCCGCTCCCTCTCGCTCCCTGGGTTAGCCAGAACGGAGATCTCCAATTTTACAAACCCAGTTGCATCCCAACGAAGAGAGACCCCGGGTCCAAGCGGAGAGCTGCACGTGCTCCGCTCGCTCCGGGCTGAAAATAGACCTTCATCCATCATCTGCCAGCAGCTGCTTCTCACACGTCAGCGCTACTTCCCAGGCTTCACGACTGGTTCCTTTTTATTTTTTTTGCTTCTATTTTGAGACAGAAGCTGAAAAGCTCAGGAACTGTGACTGTAGCCCCTCATCACCCCCCATCCACACAGCCCCTCGGGCGTTTTTATCAAACTAATGTTGAAAGAGCAGCGATGGAGAGAAAACAGAGGGAAAGAAAGACTCCAGAGGTACAGAAACAAGATGACGTGCTCAGGTGAGACCTTAAGGGTGAGAAGTCACGCAGGATAAATCACATCAACCATTAGATTAATTAAAAAACATTAGAGGGCTGGAGCCCCTCTGCCATGGGGACAGGCTGGGAGAGTTGGGGGGTTCAGCCTGGAGAAGAGAAACTCCCGGGAGACCTCAGAGCCCCTTCCAGTGCCTGGGGGGCTACAAAAAAGCTGGGGGGGCTTTTCCCAAGGGCAGGGAGTGACAGGACAAGGGGTGATGGGTTTAAACGTAAAGAGGGAGGTTGAGATGGTACAACAGTAATGAATTCTTCCCGCAGAGGGTGGGAGCACTGGGACAGGTTGCCCAGAGAAGCTGTGGATGCCCCATCCCTGGGAGTGTCCAAGGCCAGGCTGGATGAGGCTTGGAGCAATCTGGGCTATGGAAGGTGTCCCTGCCCATGGCAGGGGGGTTGGAACTAGATGATCTTTAAGGCCCCTTCCAACCCAAACCATTCCATGATCTGTGAATCCCAACAAGTTAAAGCTCCCGATACCATAACCGACGTGGCTTAGCTGCCACGCATTTAGGACAACCCACCTGGCGCCACAAACTGTTTGACGTTAGTGAACCTGGCTTTGTCGGACACCGTGGACAGAGAGCAGCCTTTCGGCACCGTCCACTCCCCGGACCTGCCGGTCTTGTCCTTCTCTTCGGCCGTCTCGTAGACCTCGACGTGGGGTGGTTTCTCCGTCAGGTTTTTGCTGTAGTGACTTAGCCCGTACTGTGCAATCTGGATGGGGTAGAAATAGCCCTGAGGGCCCCACTGCGTGGACAAGGGCACACCTATGAGAGGAAGAAGATGAGTATTTTATGGGCACGTTTTCACACATACCAAGTGTTTGCAGCCCTGCACACTCCTCCTCCTCGCCCCATCCCTCCTCTACTTCCAGTAAACGGTGTTTCTAGGCTTCACCCTTACTTAGAGGTGAGGAAAGTCCTGTCCAAGGAGTGAGTCACTCCCATTTACACCCAGATCCACGACTTGACAAACGTTAGCTGATTTGAGTGGCAGAGAAGTCCTTATCATGGTCTTCCATACATTCCCATTTAATTGTTGACTGAAGCATCGCATTTATTTTAAAATACATTTAAAATGCCCTAACAGATTCACCCCCCCCAACCCCAGAGACCACTAAATCTCCAAACGATGTTCCATCTAACACAATCCCTTTAACGCCACATAAATCTTTGCAAATAGCGTGTACGTTGCTACTGGATTTTGGTAAGAGTTATTTGATGCTGAAAGAGCAATTTACCCAGCATCAACAAATCTGCTCCAATTACCCTGGCTTCCCCAAAGAGCGTTACCAGGGCCGTCTGAAGTGATGCCTGCGGAAGACCACCCAGGCTCTCCATGGGTCCGGTGGAATACACCCCAAATCCTTCACCCCAAAGCTTTCACCCCAAAGCTGTCCCTTGTCTGCAGAGCTACTGCCCCGGCCCAGCTGCCCTGGGAATAACCCTCTGCACGCGCTCCCTGTCCCAAAAGCCAACCGCCTCACAGAAGAGCTCCCTTTGTCTCAGGTTATAGGGTGATTTTAGATTTAAAAGTCCACACCGACCAGAAGGAACCACCTCTCTGGGGGATTCAGAGCTGGAAGACGATGGAAAACGTGTCCTGCAGCCGGACGCACTGCACTTCACAAGCAAAACCCATCGAACAAGCTCAGGCAAGGACACAGAGCTGTGCTCCATGGAAAACTTCCAGCCTTAAGCTGGAACTTGGGCTCCGTCATGGAGCTGCACCGATGGAAAGCCCTGCCCGGCTCCGGGCTCTTCACCAGCTCCCAGGAGCCCCAGCCTCGGGGTTTGGGTAGAAAAACCCTCATCCTGTGAAATGCCCGCTGCGAGGGCACCTGAAACAAACTGTGGGGGAGGCTGTTTTATACCCACACCCCCGTAAGCAAACGCAGGGTGCTTAACGTATGGAAATGGGATTCTCCTTGCTTCCGGAATTTCACTTGGAAGAAATTCCCAACCTCTAAATACGAATCCAAAGTGGGAATTGTGACCCTCTCGCAGGAAACCAAGGATATTTAGTACTGTGTACCTTCGCAGGCACGTAGGG